TTTTAAAATCAAAATTGTTTTTAAATAAATCCCATAAAAGACCAGTGTCAAACAGTGCTGTTTTTTTGTCCAGCTGAGTGACATTTTATTTGATAGAGCTTTGACAATATAAACTACATATATGTATACAAAAGGTCTGACTGGGCAACTGTCAGTCAATCTAATCTGGCAATGATGGTCAAACCCACAGTCACTGTGGTCTTTTTCATAATAACTCAATGATGACTCACTCATCCACCAATGGTCAGTCATGAGTGCAAACACTTGCCCATTAGCTTGCTAGTAGTCGTCCTATGTTGGCCACCACTTACTGCCATTTGATGTCACTTTTAGAGGTCATAGCAGTGCTTTGTGAGTTGCTAATACACGGTTTTGAGCTTACTGTTCATACTGCTGGTTCTGAACCAAAACGTTTCCCAATTAATCATCGAGTGGTTCTAGATGGGAAGCCAGGGTTCACTAAGGTCAGCAGGATTCATTCTCTGAAGACCATAAGTATATATTTGTGAAAATGTTAGCGAGCCATAAATGTTTCAGCTACACTGTTACTGGGGCTAACTGCGTAAAGTCTTTTAACCTTTTATCTCTTGTCCTGTATCCTGACAGAAATGCAGCATCCAGGAAGTATGCGCTACAAGTTTAACTTCATTGCTGATGTGGTGGATAAGATTGCTCCAGCTGTGGTGCATCTGGAGCTTTTCCAAAGGTAAAACTGATCAAAGCAGAAAAATTGAAAGTGTTACCTTCATAATTCATGTTTCTGCAGATGCAAAATATTGCTTTGTTTTCATATTTTGCCAGAGTGCCATTTTCCAATGAGGAGGTCTCTGTGTCAAGCGGCTCAGGATTCATAGTGTCAGAGGACGGCTGGATCGTCACCAATGCTCACGTACTCACTAACAAGCAGCGGATAAAAGTTGAGCTAAAAAGTGGCGTGTATTACGACGCTACGGTCAAGGACGTGGATCAGAAGATGGACATCGCCCTCATCAAAATTGAGTCAGAAGTAAGTGCCCTGCTGTTCCCCCTCAGCCCCCTGAAGGCTTTGGACTAAATTCTGTCTTGTGTTTTCCTCTGGTCTGGCAGCTTGTCATTAGAGACTTACATCAAAGTGTGATAATCCTGCCCAAAAAGCAGACGGATATTCCATGGAGAAAGTTATCAACAGCTTTTGCTCACCAAAATTAGACTCTGTTCTTTAACATGGTCAATTTGTTGTCTGAAGTCCTCAGGGGTGGTATTTGGTCATGTCTCGTAAATTCAAAGCGCCAGCTATTTTTTTGTGTATTTGCGAACGTTGTTCTGAATAATGCATGTCACTGCTCAGACATGCTCATACACAACCAGCTGCTTGGTATGGTAGAGGAGGCTCTACTCCCGACTACTTCAGTCAGACTCCACTCAGCATGAAGCACATGATTAACATTTTTCGTACTGATCTGAATACAAGAACACCTCAAGATCACAAGGAGTAAACCAGAGGCATTACTGGATTTGACTGCTCTAAAGGTGAAGGAATTTGTCTTGTAACAACCAGAGAGTGGTGACAGCTGTACACTGCTATATCTCTCTGTAATACATTCCTGGTAGGAAAGGGTTCTACAGCTTGCCGAAAAGGCAAATTTGTCGTGACATAAGGCTCCCTGCCCCGAGATGCAGCTATAAATTCAGCATTCCAAACCACCCCACAGTTATATGGCCTCAGCCTGGAAAATGAGGAGGCAGACAGAGACATGCTAAAATGTTCTGTACTTTTGGTTTACACATAACAAATCCAGTGTTAAAATCACACAGGACAGTGCGTATGAGTGGACCAAAAACTAATGTCCACAGAAGGGCTTTACCAACCTTATACTATATGTGGCAAAATGGGGCTTGGCAAGCATCAACAAAAAGAAAGAAGTAAACTTCATGTTTAAAATGTTCAACTAGTTGGCCAAACTAGTGTGTCAAAAACTTGGCAGAAAATGATAAATAATTCATGTAAGTGTTTAGTGTTGTAAGAATATACCATGTCCTGAGAAAACTAAAAAAAACACACAAAAAAACAATGTAACCATCCTCAGACTAAAATTGAAGTTTCTGAATTTTGTGGCAGATATAATTTTACAGGGACAACCTTACAGCAAAGACACAGTACCACACTAGGTTAAAAAACTACTATCAGAGATTTGTAGACTACACAAAATTCACATTATTTCAAGAAAAATAGCACTGCAATAAAACAGTGGTACTCCTCAACACCTGAAAACACAATTTGATGTCTAGGTTTTCACCTGAGATAACTATTGCTTGATAAGCTTACAGGAGGATTGAGGAAACAGGATCACCATCCCCATGTCAGAAGCAGACAATCGGTATGCCCATCTATGGACCAACGTCCTCTCCGAAGAGGGTTTGTGGTGCTCTGACAGCATCATATTGCTAACAGCTTTTTTCCGAAAGAGAACAGTCATCATTCACATGACCACAAGAGGTCTCTGGTCAGAAAAACCACTGAAGCAGGGTTGCTGTTAATAATAACATTATTAATGGGTGACATTGGGTCATGGCATCCATCATTATGATTGTCATGATCATTTTCTTATAGAGGGTTACACGGTGGCTAGCGCTGTTGATCCCCGGTTCGCGTCCTGGTTAGGACACCTGAGATCTTTCTGCGTGGAGTTTGCATGTTCTCCCTGTGCAGCGTGGGTTCTCTCCAGGTTCTCAGGCTTCCTCCCACAGTCCAAAAACATGTTGAGGTTAATTGGTGATTCTAAATGGTACGTAGGTGTGAATCTGGTTGTCTGTCTCTAAGTGTAGCCCTGCGATAGACTGGTGACCTGTCCAGGGTGTCCCCTGCCTTCACTCTAGTCGCTAGTCAGTGTAGTAATGGCAGCATTTCAGAAAATGATGTGTTTGTGCTTTATTCATTTAATGGTTTCTTGTTCTTCTTAACACTGTCATTTCGTTTGCGGCTTGTTGCAGAGTCCCCTGCCCGTGCTGCGTCTCGGCCAGTCCTCAGACCTGCGTCCGGGCGAGTTCGTGGTGGCAGTGGGAAGCCCCTTCTCTCTGCAGAACACTGTTACCACCGGCATTATCAGCACTGCCCATCGCAACAGTCTGGAACTGGGTTTCAAGGACTCTGACATGGACTACATCCAAACTGATGCCATCATAAATGTGAGTGAGAGCACAAGTAATACTGCAAAACCAGTGCATCTACATAAGCAATTTGTCTTCATAGTTTTTGTTCTATAATAAGTAAATAAATGTTTCTGTTGCTCTTTTGATTTACAGTACGGCAATTCTGGTGGACCACTTGTCAACTTGGTAAGAGGATTTATAGTGCTATGACATGTAAAGGGATAATACTGGGCCATCTGCATATGTGTTATGCTTTCTGCTTTGCAGGCATTCTTTCTTGTTTTATTAATAACAGTGAGGACTAAGGTCATGATTTTGTTTTATTTAATACCCAGTGTCCCCAGTCTGCTTCCTCAGGTTCAAGATTAAGCCTCTAACAAAATATTTTAGGACAAGACCTGATTATCGAGGCCATTGCATTGCTGCTATGGAATAAAATCATGCAATCATTTATCAAGGTTGCTGCCTCCAGCTTCCTTTCCCTAAAATGCAATTCTTTCTTAAAGGAGAGTAGTTGCCATACCGACGCTGCATTTTATAAATCGTCCTTCACTGTGAAAACACAGATAAGTTACTACCATAACCAAGACTGATGGTTTGTGTTGTGGGTAAAAAGAACACTTAATAGACTATGAGTTATGTTTTGTGCATACGAAGAAAAAGAACATTTCTCACGCTGCTGTTTTGTTTCTCAAGCTGTGAAATCAATGAAGGCCACAATTTCATGGCTCTCCTTCCATTCTGTGTTTAACAGGATGGAGATGTAATAGGCATAAATACTCTGAAAGTGGCAGCAGGGATCTCTTTTGCCATCCCTGTGGACAGAGTGCGTCAGTTTCTTGCGGACTCCTACAACAGACAAGTCAACGGTGAGCAGGCCCCTCTGTTGGTCAGCATCTCTGGGAAGTAGTTTATGATTTTATTCACTCAGACGAGTCAGTGAGTTATTTTTTAACATTTATTTGCCTTTAGGTAATGCAGCACAAAAAAAGAAGGTCATTGGAATCCGGATGCTGCAGCTCACACCTTCGTAAGTAGACGTCGAATTAACTAATTTTGAAATTACCATGCTCATTTTAGGAAGGTCCACATCAGGGGATTAAACATTCATTATAAAAAGAGTAGAAAATGCTTGTTTTTACAGTTGGGGGTGTCCTGTCAACAGTTTTACTGATATCTGTTTTGACAGTTGAAAATCCAGTCTGGGTGTGTGATTTTTTGGCAGCAAGGTTAGGCCAATCTGTGTCCACCCTCCTTAAAACATGCTCGGTTGTACCATTGACTTCTCAACGACTGTACCTCGGCCTGCATCTAGACTGAATGGCAAGTCAATGTGGGCCTAGCTTGACTCAACGGATGCTGATTATGGGTATAAACCTACCACTGGCTGCACATTGGCTGTGACTCAGGTGGTAGAGCGGGTTGTCCACTGATGGCAAGGTTGGCGGTTCAATCCCCACATGCCGAAGTGTCCTTGGGCAAGACACTGAACCCCAAATGGCTCCCAACGGTAGATTAGCGCCTTGCATGGCAGCTCTGTCACCATTGGTCTATGTGTATGTGAATGAGAAATGAGAAATGAGAAACACATTGTAAAGCGCTTTGAGTGCCGCAAAGGTAGAAAAGCGCTATATAAGTGCAGACCATTTACCATTTACATTTCACGTGGCTTTCTGATCCCCTTCTGACCTGCACATTACCATTTTCAAATTCACTTCACTACAAAAAACAACAACCTCAGAACAGCAACCTGTCACACTGAAATGTTTTGCTGAAGTTTTTGATCGTGCAATAAAACATCCCTGCTTGTTTTTTTTGTTTGTTTGTTTTGTTTTTGGTTAGTCATCCATTTTAATGACAGTGCTGTCCTCCCTGTAGGCAAATGTTCCACCAGAACAATCCACCTGTCATTATTTTAAGTGACACTGTCACTGTATCCATTTCTTGGTTCAGTCCAAGATGATTATGATTGATGATTGTGATTGGTTTAAAGAAATACAAGCAAGCCAAAGCTTTTTTCCCCCAATAGGAAAGTGACCATGAGCAGCAGCAGCCAGTCCATTCTACACAGTGTTGTGCCAGTGGTAGTAAATGGTCTGGCTATGCAAAACTAATGCAGACCCAGTCCATACCCCTTAATATAAATATAATATGCTATTGAGTGTAACTTTTTTTGTTTGTTTTAAAAAATATATGTTGATCAATAAATTATTAGTGACATTGATTATACAGCATAGCTCCCTCCGTATAAATGTAGTTTTATTGTGGTTTATTTCCCTATCCAGCATTGATGTTACACCAGAGAATTTTTTGTCAGCTTCTAAATCACAGATACAGAATAGATCTCATTTTCTTCAGTACACAGCTTTTATAACGAGTGTAAATTTCAGAATATGTCTAAGTCAGAAATAAATATGGATTATATATCTGAGCCATGTCTGCCTTGGTTTTGTGCTTTCTCAAATAAATAGATGTAACGTCTGTTGTGTAGTCACACATCAGAGTTCAGGGGTCACACCGATGCAGCTGATTGCAAGCAGTCATTTGTCCCACCAGACTAGAATATGTTTTAAATAACCCAAATGTGCTGAATTTGAATGTTTGTTACTTTAAAGTTAGAAGTGAGTTGAGTAAATGTTATTTTCCCATCACTAATCATTCTGGACAACGACGGTTGAATGAAAAGTTTGAGAAGCCCTGCCATAGACTTTACATTTGGATTACTTTGCAAACATGAACTTGCTCGTCTCGGTCCTGGGAAGGGTTTGCAAACATTTGACTTCCGTGGATTCAAAATTCATAATTCAAAGAGTTATGATTGCAATTTGAGATGTCAAAAGTTAAATGGGCATCAAAAGTTTTACAGATGTCTCTTTTATAATTGCATCATTGCAGCACTGCAAGTCGTCACTGGCACCAGTAATGGTGACCTGTGCAGCTCTCTGATCACAGCTCACTGATGTTTGGCTGATATAATTTTTACTATGACTGGAGCATCATAGCGTAGAGTGTTAGCATGTAAAAATTCTAAACACAGATGTGACAACTTAATAGGTCAAAGCATTAGACAAATTCAGTGAGTATCACAACTACAATTCATACTGAGCAGCACATGATGGTCTACAATAAATGTCGAGCCAATCCATGGAATAGCTCTTGAGACAGAATGTGAAAGGTCATGGTGGCACATGAGAAGAAATCATGGGAACTCATTTGGATTAATCCTGTGGGGAACTCAAAAGCCAAAACTGGTGGCAGCATACCCACGAGTTGTTATGATATTAGAAATCAATGTTGGACTGATCAACCAACATTGCCACCTTATGCACTGTGGGGACAGGACATGAAGTTTATTAGAGCATTTGTCATTTTATTTCACAAAATCAGTTAATATCATGATGCCTGCATTTGGCAAATGAAAAATTCTAATCCAGTAATGTCATAAAGCAGCCATGCTCTCAGATTTTGCACCATTTCACATAACGACCATACACAGCTACAGCTTACACATAATATTACCAATAAAACTTCAGATAAACTAAACCCAGATGTGTCTTCTGTGTTGTTTTTTTGTACATCCAGCTTGATCAAAGATCTCAAAGAACGTGAGAGCGAATTTCCAGATGTGAGCTCAGGGGTTTACATCTATGAGGTTATCCCTGGAACAGCTGCATCCAGGTAAGAATCAAGCGACAGTCTTTTCTCCTTCTTAACTGATCCTAATAAAATTGAAACCTGCATTAATTTGTACTTTTTATATACAAATGATTATTATATGTGTACTTCAAAAGGGGTCACCTGTAATGAAAAATCCACAGAGAATTGTCAATAGTGGAGCATTTTACCTTTTAGTTTTACCGTAGTTTTTTTTTTTTCTTTTCTTTTTTTATTTTACGACCTGCCACTTAACTGTTTTGCTCCACTCCCATTGCTCCTATTCAAGCTACAGCATGTAGTTGTTCTATGCAAAAAAGTTCTGTTGAAACACTACAGTACCTGCACTGCTGAAGGCAGCTGTCTGTGGTTGAAAATAGGGTTAATGAGAATAGACGGTGGGCAAGAAAACCGCATATAAAATGCTAAGAGACACTAAAATGTTCTCTGGAAGTGAGGGGAGGTGCCTGATTAGGTGATAATTTTTTACACTTGTCAGTTGATCCACTAAGATAAAATGCGAAGAAGAGCAGCTTAGTTTGTACGCTGTCGTCTACACTGTTTCAGACTTTTCCCCAACGTCAACCTAAAGTGCTACACTTTTCTTAAGATTAAATGTGTTTATTTTCAAAGTGAGATTCTACACCAGTGGGTTGATTTTTCATTAGGAAGGATTACCTGGAGCTAATCAGTATGAAGCACATTCAGAGCTTGTTTAGGCACTAGGTTTTACAAGGTGCAACAACAGTGCTGTGAACTTGTATTCGGAGGCCTCTGGATATTTTCCAAGGTGTGGAATAAGAGCATCCCTGCAGTTCTCAAGGCTGCAGATTGAACTGTGGTCTGGTTGCTTATTATTCTTGCGCTTCCCACAGGCAAAGCTCTGACATCTTTCTCTTGGTAAAGACAGGATCGCTCTCTCTCTCTCTCTCTTTCTTTAAACTCTCTATATTCTTAATAGTCCAATGCCGCCTCCTGTGACATTGAAGCCTGAAGGTTTGGACAACACACAGCAGTAGTCTAACATACAAGCAGTACAGTAGAGCCTGATGATTTACCATGACAATGCTGAACTGCATGTAATAGTACTCCTAGTACTCCTATTGTCTGGTGAAATATTGAGCATGTGTTTCAGTAATCTGTACATAAGACCACCACCGTAGATGTAAATATCAGCGAGGGCAGTGATTTCTGAAGCAGTGATCCCACCACTTCTACTGTTTTCCCTGTTGAGGGGGAGGAAGCTAAGACATAAAGGTCAAAGATATTTTCCTCAGGGTGTGACATCTAGCCTGCTAGCTTGGGTGTGTTCGAGAAAGGCTTTGTGCTTGACTGATGCATGATGTCTCCACAGCGCTGGAATGATCAGTCACGATGTCATCGTCAGTGTCAACGGGCAGCCCGTCCACAGCACGCAGGAAGTGAGCGACGCGGTCCGGAGCGGCATCACACTCTCAGTGGTAGTAAGACGAAAGGATGGCGATGTCACGCTAACCATCTTTCCAGAAGAAACTAACTGACACCACTGACTACAAGCAGCTGGGTTTCTATTCAAATGTAGCGTCAAAGGAAAATGCAACTTAATGCCAGCTTTCATCCACTACTAGGAACTGTTCTGACATAAATGACTGGTGGTGCTAATTCCTCAGTCTGGTGCTATTACAGTTGCATAAGAGCTGAATGAGTGGCAGAGTGGCTCTATGTACAGACTCATCAAATATGTGCATTCAGTAAGTCTGTTTTTACATTTTGCTTTTATTAATAACTTTTCTACTTCAGCCAAGTGTGGAACTATTTTTGCTGCATGTTAAGATCTTTTAAATTTTGGGCATTACAGTTTTTTATGCACAAATGAGTATATAAACAGATGTATATACTGTGACACTGCTAAAGCAGCACCAGTGACGCCAGAAAACGTTTTAGTGATTTCAGAATCTCAGGATTTGAAGGCACATCGGGGTGGAGCTGACTAAAGGCCAAGTCATACTTTCTGTGTCTGCAAGGGTCTGTGTGATGAAAATTTTGTGGTGAGTGCGAATTTGTGACCAGATTGCATCCACTGACTGCACACGTGCAAGAAAAACAAATGGCGCTCACCTTTTATCCACACTTTCTATAATTCATCATTGAAATAGTTGTAATTAAAGTCATTGTTGCCTGACTGAGGTGCTTTTATTTGTATGTGTTTTCCATCCACAGTGCCCAAACACAGTGGGAAATTCTAAATTCTCCAGAAATCCTGCTTTGCCCACCCACTATGCAAAGTGCACCTCAGGACTAATGAAATAGACATTGTGCTACATCCCTATCTGCAGTCTGACTCACTTGATGTTGAATAAACCTGCCGTTGGTCGGGCATTTAACACAGCTATATTCTTCCCTTCTGTATGACGTGTTTCCATTTTCAAGATCCTCTTCTCCACAGGCAACAACAACAACAACAACCCCCAAGCAGCAGCTTACACACTGAAAATTTTCATTTTTCTGTTCAATATGAGGGACAATGTGACAGTATGATGCATACCTCACTATGGTGTAAACAGAACCTCACACGTCTGCTGTTCACTTTCAAAGTGCATATCGGTCTGGAATGCAGAAGCCATGAATTGGCCTTCAGGCTGTCAGCCACATTTGCAAATACATCACAGTGTGATGAAAATGTAAGACTAGTAGGCTGCATTAAAATGCCCCAACACCCTGTTTTAATAAAAGTAATAAGAAGGAGAGGAAGAAAAGTAATGAATGAGGTGTAATTAGATAAAACAGGTGTGGAAATTACACATTAAGTGAACTGCAACAAAATTCCTCTTTGGATATAATGAAAATTGCAAACTGCTAGTTAAAGGGTCGCTTCATTCAAGTCCATGCAGAGAGTTCTGGTTTTATTTGCCAAGGTTGAAGAAATCCATCTCTGATGGCAGTAACACAATACAATAACAGTGAATGGAATTCCATTTGTGCTGCTCACACATTGAAAAATGACAGTTTTCCACCAGGTTGTTTTTCTAAAGACAGTGTACTGATTACTCTGAATAATCCACAGACATCACTATGAAGTATTATAAAATTGTTTCTGTGATTTATTCAAAATAATAAGGATGCTGGCTGTTTCTTATCCTAAACCTTTCTGACTTTTTTCTATGTTTGTTCCAGGGTAAATTCACCAAATTAACCAAACTTGACATTGTTGTAAGTCACTTATATTCACAGTTTAATGTTGACTGTGTATAAAGACGGAAAATCCCATTTTAAGTGGGTGAGTTATATTAAAAAAAAAATGATTCCTTACAGTTGTCATGAACTGGTAAATAAGCTCAAAACTGTTTTTTTTTTTTTGTACAAGGCTATAAACATGTTTATATCTGTTGTAAATTTGAACATTTTAACATGGGGTTCTACAAGGATTGACTCGCTTTTGGAGTCAGCCTCAGGTGGGCATTCAGGGAACTGCAGTTGTTGGCGTTTCCACAGTGACTTTATTTTTCAGCCCCAGGGGTTGCTGGTTTGTCTCATTATGATGTCAGTGTTTTGATTATATGTTTGAGTGGGTACAAATAGCTTTGACGATGCAAATTGAAGCTGGATGCAACTTGTCAGACGCTTTTGTTCGATAGTACCTTGAGCAACTCTCAGTGACAGTAGTCTTCTCATAGAAACTGTGAGATCATCAACTTATATCACCCCGTAGACCCTTGTGAAAACTAGGTCACTGTGATTTTTTTAACTGCATACTTGTCATTTTGCAAGTGTATGCATGTGTATTGACAGTGTGTGTGGTAGTATGAAAATGGAGTTGTTTGTACTTTGTGCTCTTTGTTATAGGTGAAATTCTTATGTGTACCTACAGGTTGAGACCAATAAAAATAGGTCAACACATAAAACATGAAGTGGCTTATTGATTGCAGCTGCTGCTATCCATCCAAGTCAGTAATTTTTGCAGCTGACAAATGAATTACCATAGCATCACACTCTGGCATAACTTAGTATCAGATCATCAGCGGGTTGTTGATGAGTCTCAAAAACCAGCTATAAATGGCACAGTCATTGTAAAGTTGAGATGTTCAAGGGATACCAACAGAAATGTCGTTTTCATTATATAAAAACCAGTTCAATTTAAAACTGCCATGAATTATAGTTAAACAGTACACATATTTTCCCACTGAATCAAATGAAAATACTAAAACCAACATTGTGTGCCTCTTAAAGCTTTAACTACCCTGTTGTGACACTCAGCCAAGTGCTGCATTTGTAATAGAGATGAAAATCTGCACACACAGCTCACAATTATACCCTCAATCGTCTCCCCACATAAAACCGGTATGGTTTTTGTTTTGGTTTGTTTTTCTTTTAAAAGTCAGTCATTTACCAAAACAAGCTCTGCATCATAGTTTTTAACAAAACAGGAGTAAAGCAAGTGAGTAAGTAAAGTGCATTTATTGAGGACTGTTTTAAGTGGTGAATTAAGACATATGGAAATGAAGCCTACATGAGGCTTTACCCGCAGACAATACTCGCTCATTGGATGGATTAAACGGTGTACAGGTAATGGATGGATGGATCATGCCACTATACATAGTACTCATATATATAGTGAAATAGTCATGTGAATGTTCAGTGGGCCTCAAAAACGCAAAGGCAAAGCTGTAAACTTGAAAACTTTGTGGCTCATGTAGTCCATTAAAAGCTCTTGTGTCCGTAGAGGTTTGATTTTGGAGGCAGCTGCAGCAACAAGATGATAGCCAACATTAACAACCAGAAGCCACAACCAAACCAAGAAGGGGTACACCAACTAAACCCCTGAGGGTTATGAATCGAGGAAGGCTTTGTCTTGTAATATTTCTTTCATATTTCTTTCTCCTCTCAAACAGTGGTCTCACTTCAATGCAGCTCACCTATATATATATATATATGTTTTCTAACTAATGTGGTCAGTTTTGTTTTTCACAACGGCTCAAAATGTCATACAAGTCATGTGTGCATCACAGGAGGAACTCAAGTTGCTCAATCAACCCAAGCTTGTAACATGAGGTAATGTGTTGCAGGACAGAGTAGAGAAAACATTCTCCTTCACAAACATTTTACTCTGCATCAAAGCCCATTAAATACAATAAGGAGAATTCAAAAAACACAAAGTACCAGATTCTCTTTATTGAGTCAGAAGGACTATGAATAGTGATAGGCAAAATGAGACACTTAGAATTCCTCCTTACTATCATCATCAGCACATGTGTAACATTAATCAAAAAGCTGCAGAGCACAGAAAGGTTGTTTTACTTTGATTTCAGGAGACGCATGCTGGTTGAGCTCATGAAAAAAGCTTTAACAAATCAAAATTAGTCAGAGAAGAATGTTCCCTAATATTACAATGAAACAGATAAAGCAAATAGATAAAAGTGCAGTGGATCAAAACTTAACTCAAAGGTGAAGATTTCACTGAGTGGATCAATATTATATACAGTATCTAAAAAGGCCAAGAGGCTCCAGAACATTGAAGATTTTAAATAGACATGAGCACAGTATGTCTTTATATTAATGTGGGCAAATCTGCTTTGGTGGATTTGGATTTAAGAATCAGATTAAAGGAAAGATCTGGTACATGGAAAAACTGTGTTCACGTCTTTAAACAGGGTTGTAAGAGCACATAAATTGCCATATTGTGAATTAAGTAGAAAACTGCAATATGTAAATAGTGTTTTAATGCTTCACTCTACAGAAGATGTTTAGTCAGCTGAAAATATACCGCCTGCTGAAAGCACACTGCTGCTGCTGCTGGATGAGAGGAGCCGTCGATGATCGTGTCTTCTTCAACTTTTTATGATGGGAGTTAAAAAGGGGTTTTATGGATCCTTAGGTAAAGAAACCTGCTCTATCAATGAAAAAGCACATAAACCCTAAGTTCAGGAAAAGACGAGAAATGTGACAAAGTGGAAGATGAAGATTTGAATATTTAATGTGAGACCTGAGCTTCGCTGCAGAAACTCAATGAAGATCAAAATTAGTTTTAGCTTGAGACATTTGAACGGATCGAGCTCCGCAGCTGAATGCAAAGAAGGTGACTGCTCCTACACAGCATGCAGAGGTGTAGGTTTTTTTTTTTATAAAGTAAAGGAATGTGCTGCTTGCACCGTCTTAAAACATTTCTCGAGTCAATACAGAAAACCACTAAATCATCACCTCGTCAATGTGACAAATGTGACCCCTATCCATCTTCAGCCCCGTGCTCCTGCCTGCTGGGGGCTGCAGTGTTAATCAGTCTAAGTACAGCTGGAAAGTGAAGAAAGTACAAGGAGAAGAGGTAAATGAAGGGTCACCACTGGGCTGTTTGGAGAACTGGTAACAACTCATGTATATATATGTGTGTACTAAACTATATATATGTATAGCTTCCTCTCAAGAAACTAGAATATTTCTGAAATCACTGCTCAGTGTTTTAAGTGGAATGTATTCTTGGTCAGCTAAATCACAAATGCGAGCAGTGCTGAACTGTATGTGAAATGAGTTACAGAAAATGTTGATTCAAATGTACATCAAGACTGAAGTGCAATTTCTACCATTTTACATCAGGCATTCATCACATCTGCAATCTTTCCAGGAGATGGGGCCTTGATAACATGCTTACATTTGCACTTCAGGAACATGTTGTGAAGGCCAGTTCATGGTTTCCCCTTCAATGTCTGCGCCCAAAGACAGCAGCAGGCGCACGTGTTCCAAAACAAAACAGACTTTGCATACACAAGTTCCACACATGCACACTCAGCACGAAGGGCTGCTTCGGTTACCGTGTTTGGTGGGACAATGAGAAAAAGTCAAAATGAGAAATCAGTGAGTGCAATGCTTGACAAGAACAGGTGGAACACAGTGCAATCACTATGAAATACAATCAGAGCATGAGACAAGTGTCGAGTATACCTCGCTGGCACATGTGTAGTCTTTGCAGGCCATCTGTACAGTCTCAGACCTGAGCTTCATGTTGGCCTTTCATGAACATGGGAGGATGGTGAAAATACCTTCACAGGGACCCTTGAGAACATGTGAATGTGGAAACCACGCACTAGCCATATGATTCCACATCAATTCCACGAAAAGAAGAAAAACAAACATAAAGAAAGAGACCGATTGGTGTTAGTCCTGATCTGGTATGCATTCATACAGGCTTTGACAAACCAGCCAAGAGCAGTGAGCGTGAAGCCATACGAACCGACACGAAACTCGTCATTGAGCAGAGCTGGAACACTCACCTGGCCAGGTAGGCCGAGGGCACCCAGAAGACACAGGTGTAATCCCTTTCATTTCTGTTAATAGAAGCTTTAGTTGTTCTTTAAAGCACAAATAACATTGAGATATTGGGTTTTTGCTTTAAAAAATAGCTTTAATCTTTTCAGCTGAAGAGAACTTGTTGGTTTCTGGTTGCCTGGGGTAAAAAAAAAAAGTCAAACTGTATGTAAATGTATCGTAGGGGTCAATAGAGGCCAAACAATACATTTTTATCCCAAGGCCTTTCACAATTAATTATAATTTTGACGACCGTTATCTTTCATCCTGCAGCACATTACTGAACATTGTTTTTGTATGTATGAAGAGCTCTCACAGAGAATTAAATAACTTTTAAGCATTACCAGTATCGACTGCAGCTGCACTTTTTACATCATGTGACATCATAAGAAGCCTATAACGTGACCAAAAACAACATATCTTGTGATAAAGGATGTATAATTACTCTCACTTGTGATGTTTACTTTATTCACTTCATACAAAATTCAAAGGATTAGGAAACAGAACACCAATGCTCTGTCTTAACCGCTTTCACCTTCGAAATTATGCATGCTTGTTACCGTGGTTACCTAATGATCTTGCATACTGCAGTGCCTTCATTTAAAGCACTTACCTTTTTAAGAAAGCTGCTAATTAAAGTTTAATATTTCCACCTAAGCAATTGTTTAGCTTTATATTGTTACTTCTCAGCCTTTATCTTATTTCATATTATTATTATTATAATCTCACTCTTACTCCTTATTCTATTCCTTTGTTGGTTAGATTTTATTTATTTATGCTGCTCAGTGATTTTACCTTGAATTTCAGTTTATTTTGTTCATTACTATTTTAAAAGATGCTATTTAAATGAAGTTTTATATTTTATAAAAACACATTTTAATTACTTTTTCAGAATTACTTAAATGAAGCTTCTACACTGATAAACCAAAACATTAAAAGCCACCTCCTGAACATGCAGTTTTGTCCTTAGCAGCAAATCAGCCCCGACTTGCCGAAGCCTAGACTCAACCACATCACACAGGTTTCCTTCAGAGCTCTTTCTGAAGGAAACTTTGGGATCTGGCACCATGACATTATTGGCAGACCTGCAGAATGCTGCAAGTTGCAAGTTGGAAAGTTGCACATAGAAGTTAGTAAATCCATCTACTCATCATCAATTGCCAAGGAAGCAATATATGCAAGTCATTTGGTAACCTCAGTAAAACATGCATGTTGCCACATAACTACAGTTATTTTCCACAGTGCAGAGATGTGTTGTGCTCGTGTCCCACTCCAAGTATTCTTGATTAGAAATTGGGAGAAACATAGCAACTGTACAGCAACCATCACATTCCCATCACAACGTTAGTCCTTGTGGTGTAATGATGCAGGATGGCACTGACCACAACAATCCAATCAATGAGCTACCTGTCAGTCATATGACTTTCGTGTATAACTCTTGGTTTGTTTTGTAATAATGTATAAATAATGCAACATAAACAACAAACAGAGCAGCACTAAAAGACAATAATGTTTGTTTGTTTTTTTTCTTTTAGCATTCAGATCAAACGAATCAAACTCAAATCAAAAAGTGACAATTTATTGGAAAGAAGAAGAACCGTCATCACTGTTGCTCTGGTGAAAGCTGTGAGTCTAATAGTTATCCTTATGCATCCCGAAAAAGTGGGGAATTCAAATGAATTAAATTAAAGTCAGCAAATCATCCCTCATTTTTTCTCTCGAGCCCTTGGGAAACCTGTAGGAGCCCACAGGAGCGTCTGGGAAATCTGTAAGAGCCCTCAGGAGGTCCCCGGACTCCACTCAACTCCGCAAGCCAGCCTGCGGACTCATAACCACTGCAGGGCGCATCCCTGGAGTTCTCCATAATAAGCAGATACACATCAGACAGAGAGGTGGTCGAAGTCTTCAGTCACGTGTTGCTGTCGGTCTCAGTAGTAGGTGCACCAGTTGCTGTAATCGCTGGGCATCAGGCCACCAGTAATGAGCAGGATCAGGTCCACAAACCACCAGATTCCCAGGCCTCCAAGGGTGAGCAGCTTCCCCACTGCGGTGCCGGTGTGGCCCAAGCAAAAACGATCAACCCCGAAACAACCCAGGAAGAAGGAGTACAGCAGTGTGGTTATGAAGTAGTGTCCAGTGTATCTGTGAAAAACCAACAAGAGTGGCACATAAGACAAACTAGCTGGAAATAAATAAGAACAATTGTAAAATGTGTGATTTAATCAGCTGAACCTCAGTCATTTGTTTCATCTCTGAACTTCAAATGTTCAATTCAATTCAATTTTATTTGTATAGCGCAGTTTACAACACATGTCCTCACACAGTGCTTAACTAAGTAAGGTTTATCAATGTAAAGTTTGATATGCTACAACACAAACATGCCAGTGTTCAAGCAGAAATAATGGAAATACTAACACGATTTAAGAAGCAAATGCAGAACACCTGCAGTTCTGATCTACAAGGAGTGGACGCAATTAAAGCAACACCTGCTCTGTGCTATACAGTGGGTGAACACAGAACAGAAACTGAGCACTGGAGGATTCACAAAGGTAGCATTTATCCAAGTCCTGGGTTGCAGTGAAGTCTTTGTACAGGTGCTGCTTTGATTGTGTCCTACCGCTGTGAGTCTCTTAAGTCTATGCAGTTACTATAGCGATTAGCCTGACGTGCTGATGAATGCTGAGAAATGCTGGGTGAACATGGTGCGCTGTAGAGGCATGGCAAAGAATTAAGTGGTGCTTCTTAAGTGTGTCAACATTGTCCTCTAGTGGTGAAGTCTGGAAAGGTGTGCAATGACAGCGCACCCCGCTGATGGTACATCTGATGGTGAACACTGCACCTTTCTATCAATCTAAAAGCAAATCCACACATACTGTATTCAGCCTTCAACTGCTCTAATTGTTTGTTACAGTTGACGAACTGTTAGGGAGTGCAAAAAAACAAACATAAACACACACTGAAAAATAAAGGAGGACTCGTGAAAGTATCACCAAAAAAAGACCTTAAAAGAGCAGCTTCATTTCAAATTAAAGAGGCTACTTTAAAATTATCCAAAAGATTTCACATTTAATATGCAACGTTCAAGTAAAAGTGAGCCTTTAACCAGAAAGCTTTCATGGCCATTTCTGTAGAGATTATTATACTTAAGCTCAAAATGCAGAAATGAATATGAGCCAAAGAGTCAATTTAGTGAGACCTACAGAACACAATGATGGGTTTTAATTATTTTAAATTCATTCACAAAAATTATTATAGAAGGTTAAAAGGTGTTATGAACTACATCTAACAAAACAAAGAATGGCAAGAAATTTTAGACAATCATAAAGAAATATTAGAAGTACAGTTTAAAACATTAGTTAAACCAAAGAGATTCTTTGTTTATGTCATTGACCTAATGTGTGTGCACTCTGTTAATCTCTACTTCATTTTGCTGCCATTTAACGTCCCACTACCTCTGCTCTCTGTTCCACTGTGTCCGTGGCTCGTCACGGTGTGGAGCAGAGGAGAGGCAGGTGAAGTGAAGATAATGTTAGTCAAGTTGACAATAACTTACTGCAATAGAAGCTTCCTTTATTTTTTAACACACCCTACGTGAATCTAGTGAGATGTTTGGAGCTCTGCTGCTGTTGGCAGGGAAGCCAGTCCTGGCCAGAGTTCTAGCAGCTCTCCTGCTGACAGTGTTACAGCTGCTGCCCCTGACAAGCACAGAAGGACAGGCTTTGACCCATCCTGGCTGTCACAGAGGAAATACTCCGCAGGGCTTAACAAGACTGATATTGGTGAGGTAAGGTGCAAACATAAATAAAAATGTAAACTTTAAGCTAAGTCAGCAATTCTAATCCGATGCCAGTTTTGTAAGAGTGAATACGTCCTTACAGTCTGATAGATGTCAGTTCTGTGTGCGCGGTAAAACAAAATCCAGTGTTCTTACACAGCCCGGGTGTGTAAATGAAACTGGCTTGTACCAATCCACACATTAGTTAGGTGTGACTCACATTCAAGCTCGTAGACAGGAGGAAAGGAAGAGGAGATGGGGCTAAAGGAGGCAGTGGGAGTGAGAGGGAAGATAAATCTTGCAACTGTACTAACTAACTAAACAATACCAATCTTTCTCCAGAGTTTCAGAAGTACCCATCCACTATCCTTGGAGCTGTGAGGTGACAGTGCCAACCACTGCTCCACTGTGCCCTACAGAGAACCAACTGAATACAATTTAAACAATTTATGATTTATGATTGCTGAAAAATGCTCATTTCCTATTGGCATAAACAGAAAAGCGAACAACGGAAAGTGCCATTGTCATTACTTGAATAATAGTTCTTGCCTCCAGCCTTGCCTACAACGCCTGTGCATAGTTGCTTAGACAATCCAATATTTTCACAATATTACCACCAGAAGGATGCTGAGGTCATGCAATCATCTGTCTGCCTATTTGTTTGTTTGTCTGTGGCCAATCCATCTCCAAAACTAAAGGCCAGACTGCTAGGAATCTTATCATCCACCCAACAAAGAGAAAGCTTATTGATTTTGGTGATCTTGCAGCCTTTCCTCTGTTGCCGACATCAGTTTTAACTTTCCATTTCCTAATGAGCATACCTCCTGGGCTGTTTCTCATACCAACACAATGTCTGAGGAAGATTGATTTTCAGGACTGCTCCTCTAGCGCTGCCATCTGCCCCAACTCTGGCTGCTCTTATAGAAATCTTCTGTCATCTACCAAGTACAAAGTTGAGTGTGAAGATAACTGGGGAGATTATTAGGTTCCAGCAGAGGTCTGCACTCTGCGCATTGATTTCTTCTTATCAGTAGATGTCAGAGCATCCAAGACACAGATGGCCAGCTATTTTATTATTGTCAGCCAACAACAATAAGTCTGGACTAGGGGTGGGAACAAATAAATACCAGAGACTTGGTATTACACACTGGAGGAATGAAAGAAAGAAATGTGACATGGTAGCAAAAACATTAACAGCAGATTAAACATAAAGCTAAAAACTATACAAAGTAAGTACAACATAAAGTTCTCAAACTTATCTCCCAGCTGGACGGTAAACGGAGCATGAAAGAGTGATTGCAGTCATTCACTGACAATGCAAAACTATTACTATTCAACCCACATCAGCCACTCAACAGGGTAATGTCAGGTCAGCCTTAGCAGAGCACACTGCTGGATCCCTCAGAGTCCAGCGGAGCTGTACGCGCTTTAATTCAAACAGTGCAGAGATGAGAATCAGCTCTCAGGTTGAGCAGTAGTGTAACACATCCAGAAACATATGACAAAGCAGTCTGAAAGATGCTGGATGACACATGAAAGTTACTCCAGCTGGGCGAGTCAATCTGCCTGCAGCTCACTGTCACAACCAGATGCAAAAAGACAATAATAAATCCAAGTATGATTCAAAGTTACAGAGGCGCATTGCATCGAGCCAGCAAAAAGTAACTGTTAAAGAACAAGGTTTAAACTGCAGTGCACATTGTAACTCGCTGTATGCATCTACTAAGGCAATAAGTGGACCTTCTGAACTTTCCTGAGATTTCTCACATTTAGAATTTCTTCACAATCAAATTAAGTCAGTTACTGCTGCTTTTATACTCAAAGGTACAAAAAGAAAATTAACTGTTATTAGCTACCTCAAAATATTTTTAAAAATGTAAACAACTATAGGCTAAGAAACAGTGCTCGTGCTGTGCCCCACAATCTTGCTCACTGTTGCTATGACAGCTACCAAACCCATAACAAAGGAGCTGGAGAGCTGTTGCCATGCGGTGAGCCCAGTCTGCAACAGTATTTAGGTGGGCAGTACATGTCCACAGGTTTTTCTCATTGCACTAATGAGATGATCAATGTCATAAACTTCACCTGTTTTAATGTGGCTGACTGATGTATATGGTGCATACAGCTGAATATGCTAATGCTGACATCAGCCAATAAGTAGTCTCGCTTAGCCAGTCCATAATGGTCTGGCTGCACCTCTGCTGCTCAGAGGCTGCTGTTGTCGTTTCCTCGGGTGAAAAAAACGGTGACACAGATTGCCAAGAAGGAGGATGCTGACTGAAATGATTGGCCAATGGCAGGCTTATACGTGCAACCTACATCTGGTGAGTCAGATTAGCCAGTAAGTCCTTACGCCAAACAGAAAACACATGCATACGATGACTAATGTCAAATGCTGTTTTCTGGAAGCTACAGGGCGCTTGGTAGTATGACTAAACTGCAATAACCTCACTTGGGGGGTTGCCTTGTTAAAGTAAACTGGAATTACCCTTTGAGCTTTAGAATCATTTGATATTACATATTTTTCCTCCGTCTCATTCGTAGGCCACACAGGAATGAAGTCTTATGAAGTTGCATTTAGAATGTACGTCTTATAGTTATTAATCTCAAGATCACAGTTTACAGAATTATTTTTGCATTACTATTTGCTCATAATAATGGGTGACTAATACTAATAACATTTAATTGTCTAGACAGAGCACAGCAAATGTTACATCTTTGAACAGATTTGACTGCTCTGTCATCTTGCCTGAGTCTTTCAGTAATTACAGACATCTAGTACCTAGTTGCAGTATCTAGTACCTCAGTAATACATTAACCAAGGCTTGTGCGAAATGTCAGAAAATAGAGTGACCTAGACACCAAACAATTGAAATGATTTGTTTTGCTGTACCAAAGATATTCAACTGACAACTTAAAAACACAATACTAAAAAAAAAAAAAAAACAGGGAAGGGGGTTATATAGGTTTATGAATACAACTAATTGTACTGCAACCATGGCAACAAAATAGCTGAGACAAACTATGAACATGCAGGCAGCTTAGAAAAGGGCAAGTTAATCCATCAGTGTTAATGTAACACAGTTGATAGAGGTGTAACCTTAATGTTACTTTCAGTCAGATATCTTTCATGTTGCTGTCAGAAGGAATGAGTCAGTTCCAGGATTGATGATGCTCTATCTAAAGCTTCCTATGGATGTAGAAATTGACAAAGACACACTTTTGGATTGCTGTATTAATGCTATCCAATAACTCAGTATCTCCTCTGAAAGCTAAAGTCAGACAGTAAAAAGGATTTTAGTGAACAAGTGAGTAAATCATCTTTTGAAAGATGCTGCTGTTCGGGAGTGGAGAGAACAGGTAACTGCAGTAATTCTAATGCCAGGTGAGCAAAGACTGATGGAGAGGGAGCACTTCTGTTAAAACTTCTCATCTGTTACTGAGAAAAGTTTCTCTGTTGTTTCCTGCAGCACAGACAGACATGGACACTGAGCCTTTTCCATTAACCTCACAATAGATTGGAATACTATCTGTAGCTGTCGTAACCAAACACAAAGATGGGAGCAGCTGCAGCCTCAAAATGTTTAGGAAATATATGAATTAAAAATGCACAAATTACACTAAAATGGACCATTAAGAAATTAAATATATAAACAAGTAAAAATCAAATGCCTAATATTTTAATAAAACAAATACACATTTTAATAAAAAGACCTAAACAAAGAAAAAGATTTTAAAATAACACTGTCCAGACATTTTTTTGGAACAAAGGAGAACTACACACTGTGACGCATCATCAGCACAAAATAGCTTCTTATTTACAGCAGTTATGAAGCAACATGGTCATTCATTTAGAGTTGTATTTCTGGCCACCTGATAAATGCAGCTCATGTATCCACGCTGAAGTTTGGTGTAACAGAAATGGCCCATATAAGTTCTTATACAGTTGTGTGTCCTGTGTAGTGTTTCATACTTGATGCAGGGTACCCTTCCCGTGAGGAACTCTCTCGGTCCAGCACATTCTATATCATCAAGTGCTGTGCAGATAACCCGTGTGTGGTTCACCTCTTTTTCAGTCTGGCCACCCCACTAGATAAAGAGAAAAACAGTAAATGAGTTATATGTTCAGAATCACTCAGCACTTGACATTTTTTCCGAAATGACACTTACCCCAACGCAACCGTGGCCCATCTCCTGAAAAGCAGTGTAGTTGCCTGCATGATCCACAGGGTCCTGACAGTAGATGAACTCCTCCGGTCTTCATCGTGCAAAACATTTAGAAAACAAGTCAAGAGTGTTGTGTCTCACTGCTGTAAAAAAAAGAGACTGAAAACCCACAATGGAAAACTAGTTTTATTTATTTTTTACTTTTGTTGTTCACGTTTAACTGGTGATATTTCCAGTGAACTACTGATATTCTTGTGCATCAGGCTGCAGTTATACTGGTGCTGAACTTTGCAGGTAACTAAATTCAGCTAAATTGGTTCCTTTAAACTTCAAGTTTAATGCAAACCAAAGCTTGTGCTTTTTTGTTGTTTAATGTTGGTGGGTTTCACTGACTTAGCTATAGCTACTCAGTACAGTCTCTAATACTGCCTGTATTGTATGTACAATATATTAATACCTATTAATAAGCTATCTTATCATTTACACAGAGCTTTTATAAACATCTAGATGGTATTGTACCCCATTTAATAGGGTCAGTGTCTGAACAAAGTGACCATCATGAGTGTTGCTCTCCTGTCATTCACATCATCTTTCTTAGTAGCACACACAAACGTCTTTGATTCGTGTGACCAGTAAACGAATGACTTCAAAATTTGTCGATAATACAACAAATGCACCAGGAGACTCTTGTGTTGTTGAAATAAAGTGAAGATATTACATTTAAAGTGATCACAACGTCCATGTCATGGTTAATTAACAGTAGGTCCTCTCTCACACTAACATAATCGGGAACTCCTGCTAAACTTCAACGATGATAGTTACAGAACACAGATAGAAATAGGACAGTTTACAGGTCCATGAATCACTGATAAAAATGCATAACAAGGAGAACATGACCTATGGAGTGATATTTATATGTTTACACTGTAGTGAGTTCGGCATACAGAAGCATCACAGAAAATGGGCATGCTGTTGTATTATTAGTGCACACGTTACTGTGTCCGTCTCACAACAACAGCTGTTAGCAACAGCTAACGCTAACATGCTAACGACTGCAATCAGGAAAGGCTACCGTGTACCGTAACATTTTACTTACAGAAAGCTGCAGAGGACCACTGGGGACGGAGGTCTGTACTCGTAGAGCTCCGTATAATTTGAACTGTCCATCGGTATTTCATATTTGACAACCTCCGGCTGTTCGCTGAAGGGGAGGACGGTAGCTCCCTGACCCGGAGAGGAAGCAGGAGTCTCTGCTGTTGACGAGTTCTGGGAGTGGATTCCTTCCAGACATTGTAACAGTATGACGGTCAGTAGCAGCAGAAACTGTCCGCACAGCAGAATATAGCTGACTGAAATCATTGTCACCCTCAGAACACTGCGCTGCTCCTGATAAAACAGCTAACCATGGCTAATGACGATGTTTAGCTACATGATCGCCGTCTCGTGAGAACGACGTAATCAAAAAGCGTCTAGAGCGAATACGCAGATGTCACGTGACCAATGTAATTGAACTGTAGTGTAATGATTTTTTTTTTTTTTTAAATAAAATCATTACACTACAGTGTATGTATAGATATATAATTTGTGTGTGTGTATATTTATATATATAGATATAATTTGTATACACACACACACACACACACATATATATATATATTTTTTTTATTTTTTATTTTTTTAATTGTAGAATAGAATAGAATAATATCATTGGCACAATGAGTTTTCCACCCACACAGTCCAAAAACATGTTGAGGTTAATTGGTGATTCTAAATTGTCCGTAGGTGTGAATGTGAGTGTGCTTGGTTGTCTGTCTCTATGTGTTGCCCTGTGATAGACTGGTGACCTGTCCAGGGTGTCCGCTGCCTTCTCCGTATTCAGCTGGGATAGGCTCCAGCCCCCAGCAACCCTGCGGAGGATTAAGCGGTGTATAGATACTGGATTGATGGATGGCTATATATAAATATACACTGTGTATCTCAAAAAAATTGAGTGTTGTGATACATTCCAATTAAATTTTGATTAAATTACTCTTCATATTGTATAAATACCATGTATCTCTTGGTCCACTTCAGTCCACACAACCACAATCATTGGAAAGATTGATTACTTGAAAGTTGTCCAGAAGATGAGCATCAACACAAGCCAAAGAATGTCATTTCTAAAAAGGCTAGCTGTTTGCAGGGTTAGCGTTTTCACTGTGTTGTTTTTTGTTTGTTTGCTTGTTTGTTTTTTTAAATGATCTTAGAAAATATTCGAATGATTTCTGATTTTCATGAATTACGAACCAAAATCATAAAAATTGAAACTAAAAAAGACCTGAAATATTTAACTCCACATGCAATGAATATAAATTATTTGTAAAAGTTTACCTTTGTGAAATAAAGTCTATGTAGATAACATACACATTAAAAATGTAGTGTTGATTATCACCTGTCTAATATGATCATTTTATTTTTATATGCCAAATCAAATTTTTCTATTTACCAGACTACTGCTGTCAAATCAGCTGTACATACATGTATACTAAATTACAAGTCTACGTAGACCCAACGAAATCTAATGTATCCAATATTTTTTTTCCTAAATGAACACTTTAATGTTCAGTCATATGTGTCCAGCTGTTTTAAAGAGGTGCTGATTCAACTGTGGTCAGGTTGGAGACTTTTTAAAATCTTTGAAGAAAAAAAGGACTGAAAACTCTCATAGAGAAACACCTTCTTTAAATACATTCAGCCTACATGTTTACACTATTTCTTTAAAATGTATTTTGGTTAACAACTTTTCATAAAGTTTCACAGGTAAGAATTGTGTAAGCATGTTAAGACTCCGCTGAGGTTATAATTGCCTTATTATGCCAGACTTCATTTAGAAATCTGTCAATTTAACACAAGGTGCTGGCAACCTGAATCTCGACGAGACATCCATGTTAAGAACTAAATGGGAGACTACGACGTGGTTACAAACCCACAAATGAATGAGGCAAACTCAGGATTGCAATGCAAGGCACCTTTATTACTTTGAAATGTCTTCACTTTCTCAGTTGTGGTATTTGTTTCTGTGTGTGAGCTTCGAACTCTGCAAAGACCTAAAAGGCTATACCAATAACTTGGATGTAATAACAGAAGTACCAAGAATATGAACATAGAACACATTATAGGATTTAAATAATTCTTTAAAAATGGTAAAAAAAAAAAAATGTACAGAATGCACACTCTCATGGCTGGAAAGATAACAGAAGAAAGCAGGCAATACATTACCTGGTCCATATGTATAAGGCAATTTTTTAAAACTGGGTTTTTTTCCCTTGTCATTGTCACATGATGACTGTTAGAACAAATAAAGAAAAACACAACTGAAGTGCTGTCAAGAGCCAAACCAGCAGATGTTTATGTCGCCCTGCTCTACAGTCAGAGTTGCCGCTCAGCGCATGGAAAAAATAGCTATTACCAGTTTAGTCAAGCTACAAACAATGATGCTTTGAGGAAGGATGGCAAAGTGGAGTCATTCCTCAACATAATTCAGCTGTAAATGTAAATGTTAACAAGGTTAGCACCAGTCATGGTAATGACGAGGAGACGACTGTACACTCAGACAGTCCAAAGTCTGCACATCAACACTGCAATAAGAGTTCTGGATATCTTTTGTGTGGAAGAAGGTTTCTTCATCTTCCTAAAACTGCATCTGAGTGTGGATGAAAACACGCAGAGAAAGTTTTAAAATCTACCCATGTCCATGTGGACAAGACCTATATAGGCTTATTAAGGCCTGAGTGGTTTCAGGGGAGAGTTTGATTCATCCTCAGATTGGAAGCCATGTCCAGTAGCTGTTGGTGAGGACTAAATATAATGCACAAGGCAGCATTTCATTTAAATAAAATCACAGCTTATTGATATTAATTAATAATTAAATGTTAAGTCTTGTCAGCAAAATGGTGCACATGTATGAGACTTGACCACTTCAAAGTTTGATCCTGAAATAAGTTTGGTGTCAGCAGACCGCATGCAGAGACACTTCAAAGCAGCAGTAACCCCTCACATCTCAGCACCCTGCTCCTGACTCGTCCTGGCTGCAGTCAGTTCCAGCTTCGTCTGCTGAGGTCTTCTCCCCCATCTTAGGCAGCGATAGTAACTCTGGGGTGAGATATTTGATGCCGCCACCTCCCGCATAAGGAACAGATGAAGATATGAACGGAGAGGAGAAATAATCCTGGCTGTGGATGCTTGGGCAGGCTCTGAAATCCTCTCTGGGCCGTGCTGGTAGGATGAGGTTTTGAGCCGATGCTGCAGAGAAACTGGAGTAGGGATAAAACAGGAAGCCTCTGAAGTGTGACAGGCTCATCAGGTCCTGTTAACAAGAAGAAAATACATGAGGTTATTAGTCACTCTTGGATGAATAAAAGGACAACTCAGGCCTGTTCTGGCTCCTGATAAGCTGAAATAGCCTGTAACACTGATGTAATGCTGTAATAATATAATAAATAATACCACATATTATGGTATAAGTTTGTTTTTCGCATTCATTTTCAAAAAACGCTTACTAAAACGATTGATTCAAAAACAATAATAAAAAAGCAATGAGAGTTTTTTGAAGCTTAAATATAAAATGAACATCATAAAATCTACATTGAAAACAACTGATACATAAATAGTTCTATTACCAAGCAGTTTGCAGGATTTATTATATTAATGGAAATTGAAATGACATTATTGTGTGCATGGTTGTACTTGAGAACACTCATTGAACTCTGTTACTTTTACTCAAAGTCATAGGGCCATATTACTTAACAGTTTATTTTACAGGTCCTGTGTTTCCCATCCAATTTCTTTGATAACTTCTAACAATATAGCTATTTAGCTATGAATTATTCCAAGAAAGTCCCATCCAATTTAACAGTAATCAGGAGAGAAAGTGTTGCAATGTGCAGTTGTTAGCTACCTGTTCGTTATGCTGGGTTTCAGGAAAAACAACAAGAAATTTTGGCTGAAATTTTAGTCACATGGAGGGAAACAGTAAAAAAATTCTACTGCAGCTGAAAATTACATTTAAAAAAATGGAATCCAACAACAGAAACCTCCGTTCAATGAATATTTACTGATGTAAAAGCAGATCAGTAGTTTACAACACCTGAAAACCAAAAGACTCCAAATAGTTACCAACTGCGTAAATCTCAGTGAGCTTAATAACTGCAGCAACTAATACTTCTCTGTTGTCTTTTTAATGAGTAATAAATTGTATATTTACAGTTAAACAGTCTTTAAGGAGATGATGCAAAAATTTGAGAGGACATTTCAAAAATACAACATCTGTAAAATAAAATGTTATGAAATATTGATAATTTCTACTCAAGCATATTTTTGGAAGGGCATTCGCTTGTAAATAAGAAACAATAATGTGTTTTTTTTTTTATAGTTAACAGTGAGTTAACCCTCCCACCCTGGAGATCCCTGTGCCAGGACCAGGGAGACACACAACGCAACGCAACGTAACGCAACGCAACGTAACGCAACGCAACGTAACGCAACGCAACGTAACGCAACGCAACGCAACGCAACACAACACCTTGTCTTTAAGCTTGCAGAGCATGGTGCCATCACTGACTGGTACTTGCATGATTAAAATGAATGCTGCATTGCTGTGCTTCTGATTTAGTAGATTCACAGTTTCGTCAATCTTTAGAACACGTTCAATGACATCATGGACTTATTGCTATGAGATTGCTTCTCACTCTCTAACTTACAGTTTCGATTAGGTGGAAGTAAATATGTCAGTTTTTGCTAAGTTTCATAGTTTACAGTAGAAACTAAAAGATCCATTTTTAATGTGCTTCTAATGGAAGTGAGGGGGAACAGAATTCCTAATTTTCCAGAAAGATTTACATTTATCTAAACCAAATGTTGGGCTACAAGTCCAGAGTAAGTAAAGCTGTTTTCAGACAGGGGATAAGTAACAATGCTGCTTTAACAGTCTGTTAACATTCTGTCAGTCAGACACAGATCTTTTTTGCAGTAATGCTCCTCACAGCTTTATTCAAATATACCCACTACAGTTAAGAAGAGAGTCACAGCACACATGCCATATTTATAATGCACTAATGAACTAAAGACTTCACCTGAAGTAATAGCACCTTATCAAACTGCAATAATTAAACAGCCGAACTGATTTATGATTTCCGAAATACAGTAAATTCTGTCCATTTGTGATAATAATAATAACTACTGCTTTAACAACAGTAAAATAAAAATATCCAGACAGCTGTGATGGAATTCAGAAAAAAATGATTTAACTGCAAGTGACAAATGGTGACAGTGTGTGATAGCTCACCTGTCTGAGGTGGGAAAAGGTACATGTTGTGACTTACTGCAAGATCCTGATGATCCTGTCTCCATGTTGGAGATCATTTTTATTTCTAACATATAATTGTAAGTATACATTATTACAAGTAATTAATGAAGTAAACGCTGTTGTCTCATGTGTAAATGTAAGCAGCGCTCTCTTTTTGGAGATGTTTATATAGATTCTGCTGCTGTCTGCTGCAGCAGGTATTTGATCAACTCAAAGTAAAGAGTCCTACAAACAGCTGTAAGCAACAAACTGAACTTCCCTAGTCACCATTATGTCAAAACTAGGATTACGTTTATTACTGGTGAGTTTCATTAATCTGAACCTGTTACAGACTCTGTTATTATCAAAGTCAAGTTTTGTTTTATGGACATTTTGTGAATTAATTAGTGAATTAATTATAAGTGAATTAGAAAGTTATGTGAGTTTTGATTTTGGGATTTTAGCAGCAAACTGTCTATTAATCCATGGGAAGTTTTTGGACCAAACTTGGGGATAAAATGCAGAAAAATCTTTCTCCAAATCACTTTAATCAATTTGAAGTACTGTCTGTTGTGCATGCCTGTCCATTGAACTGCATGGTAATTGCATGCAGTTCAGATTTGTGCCGTGTTGAAAGTGAAATGTTACCCAGTCCAACTTCATAAGAATGTTGTCGCAATTTTTTATGGACAATTCAGCAGGGTGCACATTCAGACATGAAGCCGACACGTTCAGATGCTGTCTGATTAATTTACAGGAGTGCAGGGTTCAAATAAGTCGAACGTTCCTCCACAGTTACAGGTTATTTTGTATGTATTTCATTGCAGCAAAGAAACAGTGTCTGGAAACAAAAAGGGATTTACTTTCTAAAAGTAGGTCAGTGTCATCAAACTTAGGAAAGTAGTTTTTAGCAGAAACATGGCTGCAGATTATTAATCTCATCATTATACTCGGAGTTACATGAAGACAGGAATTCCTGGTGGTGAGCAGGAGCAAAATCTGATTCAGTGTTTATATGAATGTCTGACTTTTTCAGATATTTTTTTGGTATTTTGCCTTTATCTAAGTAGCACAGTAGAAATTGAATGGAAATGAGGGGAAGGCCGCTGGGGAAAAAAATCCAGCCAACGTCTGAGCAGTCAGGAGTTGAGCTGGAGACTCAGCTGCTAAGGACCCATGTGGTATTCACCCTGACCACTCGGCTTTTGGCTCACCCACCAAAAAACAGACTTGAAAACTCGATTTAGTCCAGTAGTTTGCTACTTTTTCTTTCTATGCCATTAGATTATGGGTAAAATTCAGTGTTTTCAACTAATACCTCCTACATTTGAAATTAAGATAAGACATAAACGTGACTTAATAAATTATGTTAATAATTAACAATCATGCCACACAGATTGAACATTAAAATGCGGCTAGCATATTAATGAATGAATCAAAATTGTATCACACTATTGTGATATGTTTCAGTCTCAGGGGACGTTTGTTGGTCTAGCATACACTATAACACTCTATAAACTTCACAATTTTGCCGGGCTTTCCCCTGCAGTATAATCTTACTATTTTAAAAGGAACTAGGCACAAAATCATTATTTAACATGCCCTAGAAAGTCTGTAATTGCTTGTTGTGTACCTGTACCAGTGCGTGCTGTTGAAGGCTGATGGGAAACGGAGTCCTGGCAGACGCTGCCAGACTCAGTCCACATGGCACTGCTCTGTCCAAGGTGGCACAGCTGTACCAGGAGTTCACCTGAGCAGAATGGAAAAGACTGTTGGAGGTCCTCGGATCCTGCAGATGTCTGTTTATTTCCGGAGAACAAGCACAGCTGTGCGCAAAACTGCTGTGTAATTTGCATGGTTGTTCCTTGTCAGAGTCTCGTGTCGGGCAGCAACCTGCTCCGTCGATGGTTTTGCAGATGACACGGTTTTGTTTGGGGTCCGTTTCTCTGTGCGTCCTCACTGGAGTCTGCACCGTCCTTTCTGTGATGGCAGCCTTTGGCTCGGTTTCTGTTTCGTGGGGGGATATGAGCACCTCTCGTCCATGAGTCTCCTCAACATGGTCGTCCTTGTCACTGTCACTTTCATGGACATCTTGAAAAAAAATACAAAATTAAAAATAAAATAAAATAAGAAATTGGAAAGTTAGTTTTGGATTCTTGTCTGCATACTGTTAATACACCAACAATACTGCAGGTGTTGTACTGACAGTATGAATATTGAGCATGCTGAAGAAATGTATTTTTGCACCTGAAGACTTGGAATTGTCTGAATATTGTGGAGACGAGTCTTTTACGGGTTCAGGTTTTACATCCGTCATCCGCATCTCTTTAGGCCTTGGTGGTAAATGCTGCAGTTTCCTGATTTAATAAAAACAAATTGAGAAAATGAAATACATTTCTTAGTAGAGAAAATAATCAGTCATGATCTTGACATGAAATTGCTGCTGTTTGAATTTTCATTTTTGAGGATTATTTTTGCAGGATATCACTTAGTTTTAAGTCAAAGATTTCTGGTGCTTATTGATTATTTAAAGCCAACAAATGTTAAATGAAGACTGTTTAAAGTAAAATGTCATTTAGAAATTTAGTAGAGTAAGCCAGGGGTCAGCCCGTCTCTTCTTGTGAACTAAATGTCACTATGGTAGTTAATTCAACTTAAACTGAGACTGTTTAGTGACTGACCTCGTTCCATGTGTGCCACTGAGTCATTACAACCTAAAGTTCTGTTTCATTGTGACAGTGATCTCTGGTGGAGATCAAATATTTATGCAACGGAGGAGAAATAAACAAAGTGGGAGGAGGCTGGGTGGATGGATGGGTCAATAAAGCCTAATGTTTTTCCAAACCTAAATAAGTGGGTTCAGCTCCGAAAGTTAAGTAAACAGAAATGAAAACTACATGTGCTCTGTTTACTAATATCTGTGTTTTATTTTAAGCCCCAAACTGAGGTAGGAATCCATGGGATGTAGTGTTGTATTTCCATTCAAACAAGGATATATTTTATTTTTAGATCACTAGAGTTCATCTCTTATCTCTAACTCTTTCATCTGAATTGATAAATTGAATAATTGTAGCCACTGCTGGGAGTTCAATCAACTCACTAAATTAAGTGTTATTAACGAGTTTATTAGAGGCGTCACAGTATGAATTATTTACGAGTTAAAACTGTTGAAAGGTTATTTTTGTCTTTTGTGGCTTGAAGAAGAAAGACATGATGTAGACTTTTAGTGTCTTTAATACATGTGATAGGAAGTCCAGGTTATTTCTTTTTTACTGAAAATAATACAAAGCACGATGACAGTTAGTTTTGAATTCAGCCCTTAAACATGAATACATGATACAACAAAGTGACTCTGAGCAGCATCATATGTCATCTTTGTTCTGGCTCTGGTACAAAATGTTCCCAACAGCAGCAGCTGTAAGTTCTTCACGTTAAATAATAACTGACTCTACAGTCTAAAAAAAAACAAAAAAAACATTAACTTTATACAACCAGTCATTTTAATTGAGAGCTTTATGAAACTAACAAATGTAAATTAGCCAAACTAAGATGGGGATTTATACAGCATGCAGTATTTAATCAGCATTACACTGAAAGTCATAAAAGGATTAATTTTATTTTATTTTTTTTGAAAAATTGTAAGGCAGCGATTCACTCCTATTGTTAGCAAACTACTCATATTTTATCATGTGCTGCTTCTGCTGCAACAAATCACTGTTTTGGATCCTTCTGCAGGCCATGCATGGACAGAGAGCATTTTTATCCGTCGATTGACCAACTATTTAAACTTGACAAATGTTGAACTAAATTTCATCATGAGCTGACGTCTCTCTTGATGTGTAAAACTGGCCAGATCATACTGGATCCAGAAGCTTTATGCATTCTTAAACACAGTGTATCATATGTGTGAAGCTCCAAAGATTCTTGTGGATCTAATGTGTCACTAATGTTCCTGAAGAATGCCAAGAAGGATTGTCAATTAAAACGAAGAATTACACAATTTTTATGGCAACTTTTGGCTCATTATTATGGTGTAAATCACAGCATTCTGTACACTGAACTAGACGTTGATGAAAACAGGATCACTGGTTTACTGGAGCAACAGTCTGATTTGGGTTTTTAGAGTCAAGGAAAAGAAAATGATGAAATATGATAAAATGACCACAAGTAAATACATCTGTGTTGTTACTAATACTGAGCACATGTTGTTGGTATTTTCTTGCAGATTGGGTATTTTTGCAACCTGGTGGAAGTTTTTCATACATGGTGGTTATTTTATAAATCTGACTACTTGAAAAAAAATAAAAATAAAGGATTAAAGTTCTCCACCAGTACTGGAGTTTGATTTCCAGCAGTGGAGAAGGCTTTACAACTGAGGAATGATTCAAATAGAACAAATACTTGAGGATGCATCTAAAGAATGAAGGTATTTTTAAGGACAAAATTATGGCTTTGGCCTGATAACTCTACTTGAATACAAAATTCACTTAAGTGCAGTAACTAATATTGTAACATAATTTTGAGGCACTTGGGTTTTCCATTTTCTGCTACCTTTTGCTTTCATGTTACTGTAGGCTTGTGCTCCACTACATTTGTGATAATAATAGAAATTATTGTAATTACAATAAATAACATCAAAACATACCTGTACAAATGAGGTATTTTTTATTGTTTTTTTTGTTTTGTTTTTACTACACTACATACACATTTTTGGCAAATGAAGATTTTATACACAAACATACAGTGAACCCCAGAATTAAATGAAGAATTAGGTCTAATAATAATGATCGTTATTAGTAGCTGTAGGTGTTTTAGCTGTTGTTGTCGGACCTAGTCCACCATAAAACATCCCTTTGAGGGCTGTAATAAAATATGAAAGAGTAACTGAAACGAATAACTTGCCTTTTTTCTCTTCTCCCGTTGCCTGTGTCTCGGAATCCCTTGGCGAAAGGATTGTTGTCTATTTTCAGTTGTGTGATCTGATAATTGGGGGAAAAAGGGGGTGACACATTTCTTTATTCTAGTTGTTCATTATGATTATATATTTAAATACTGAAGAGTCGGTGTCTTACCTTATCATTTTGGTAAGCTGTCACTGCGATAAATTCTGTCTCAGAGAAGACGTATGTCCTAAAAGTGCTGTAAGGCAGCTTTAGGATGTCATTTGCTCTCACTATGTGAAATCTGGGTTGGTATTTGTGCATCGAGTTCAGGATTGTCTGAAAATAAAACAAACAAACAAACAATTGAATTAGCCCAGATTTTCAGACTTAACGTGAAAAAAAAGCATGTCTTATTTTATGATATATTCTGCCTAAGTGAACACTTACTGTGCCACTGTATGCGTCCTGCACATAAACAGCATTTAGATGTTCAGATCAGCAAAAGGCCACAAACTTCGCGCCCTAAAACTTCCCTCACAGCATTGTGGTTATTTTAGACTGCGTGAAAGGTGCTACAATTCAAAACTTACGAATCCATGTTTGTCAGATATGTTGTTGGTGAGTTTCAGCTTGTGGAAGTTGACCACTTTGGACATCCACTGCTCGCCTGTGGCCGGACTGTCCGGGTGGATGTACATGCGTTTGGGCATCTCCGGGTCCGCCTTCCCCGCCACCATCCAGCGCGAGTTGTGAAATTTATATCTGCAGTCATCAGCAGCCACGATGTCCAACAGAAGAATATATTTGGCTTTTCTGTCCATCCCGGTGCACCTGGCCTTGAGCGGCGGAAACATGCGCCTGCGGGAATAAGCGAAAGAAATAAGGACATAAAGGTGCGATAAATAAATGCGGATAACTTTTCCATTCGTGTGTAAATTTGAAACATTTACCTCCCAGATTTGGTAATGACCATTTCTGTGCCGCATTTGTAGAACTGTTTCCAAAGGTCGCTGGCTTCCAAATACACTTTGGGGTCATCGTCTGCTGCTTCGTCGCTGTCCAGAATTTCGGGAGGCCGACAAAATACTGCAGATTGCTCTGGGGGCGACGTGTGAATATGTGGCTCCGGGATGGCATCCAGACTTTGATCCGATGGTCTTCTGGAAGACACGGCGATAGCTGGGAATAGAGAGGGTCCGACCAGGAGAGATCCATTCGGGGCCGCATCTCCAACTCTTGCTGAAAAAGTTTGCGGCACCTCTCCTGGAGCGCACAGCTTCGAGAAGCTGCGCATGGTCTCCAAAGGAAGAAAAAAAAAAAAAAAAGAACTTTTACGCGCGACTCAGGTGAGGTTACACTTCTACGCTTTGCCGAGCCATGCAATTTACAAGCACCTGCATGTTTTTAAAATCACTAAAACGCATAAAAGTTCACAGCATTTATAGACGTTGTGCTTTTTCTTTGGACGTTTTGTCTTAGGAAAACCCTGCCCACAGTCCAGTGCGCGTTAATGCATCCCAGCCTGTTCCCAAGCTGATTTGCTCTTTGACACGTTTGGACTCAGGATGACACCCAGCAGTGGGTGGGGTTTCCTTGATATTGCACTTTATGCGGAGGAAAATGCTGCCTCAAGTTTCTTCACTGGCTGATGAAGCTGCTTGTGACATTTTGGGGTTGAAATCCTTCTTTATTAATCACAGCCCAACACCAAATTGTTCTCTGTATTAAGCGCAACAATGTCTAAGTTGGGTTTGTGTTTGTATGATGTGATAGAAACACAATGTGTGTTGCTCCTTCAGAGCACCCTCACACAAACACTGCATTTAACACTCTAGAAGCACCATCAATGAAATCTGAGTTACAAATGAAATTTCTGATGCAGACACCGATTTCTTTGACTTCCCACATCATTCCAGTGCCCTGTGGTTTGATGTGCTCCACTGATGTGGTCTCTCCTCTCATGCAGCACTGGATGGGGACAGTACAGGGCTTCGCCTCTGTGGGGAAGCAGCCCTCTGCCAGCGATTGTCCCGGCTGGATTAGACTCTGGGTTTGGTTACAGGCTTTTTATTGCTCAATGGTCCATGACAGCGCAGGAACGTCCCAGAGAAAACTTTCCATGAGTGAGGGCAGCAGGTTCAGGATAGATGTGTGCCACCCGTGATGTGCAGCACTGCAGGGGCTGAACAGCATGTCAACATGAGGAGGTGGCGCTCACTATGAAGTCACATAAGATCGCAAAGCCTAAAAATAGACTCTATGTTGTCTTCATACAACAAAACAATCAATTTTTCAAAAGCAAAGTTCCTAAAAGTTAATGTTTTGCTGCTCAACCTTTGCACAGTTTCAATCTGTGTTTAAACAAAAACACATTAAGACTCATAATTACTGTGACATGATTCATTTCACATTTTAAGACCCCTCTATTTAAGTTTGTATAATCACTTCACATAATGTCTCCATTCAATCATTTGTGTTGTTTATATTGATAAAGGCAGTTGGAGGCAACTGAGAGCTCAGAGAGAAATGTGGACTCTAAAAGAAGAGATAATTTCACTCAATACATTACATATATTTTAAACACACATCATTGCAATCAATGTTTTAAACAACTTTATCACAAGACAAGCAGAGCAACAAAAAAAAAAGCACTTGGTAAAGGTTGGAGAAAGACATATAAAAGGTTGTATAGTAGACCCAGGATTAGGGTTAGGATTGGTGTGAGGGCTTTGAAATTATCTGGATGATTTCAGTCCGACAACTCAAGTGAAGAGTCAAAGACAAGAACAAAAGGTTCTTTACTGAAGATTCAGACGAGCGGGTTAAAAGCGATGCAGCATGTCTTTGATCTGAAGACGATTAAGGTTCAGCATTGACATAGAGGAGTTAAGGTGAGGATGTGCTGTTGGGTTTGTTTCACAAAGCCTCAACAGTGCAGTGTGCCATTCAGAAAAGCCAGTTTATTAGAGATTGTTGTGTGGATAAGGTAATGTAGTCATGAAGATAGAGCCCAGTTAGCATAACTGCCATTAGAGGGGAGAAAAGGTGAAGGGGAGTCAATCAGGATTTCTTGAGAGAAGGTGAGGGTTAGAGGGTAAGAGATGGATATGAAGGACTGCAACTACTTAGGCTGACATGGTCAACAAGATTGATGTACTACCAACAGTTCCTGTGTCTATTGCTCCAATTGGGAACCAGAGAAACGCTCATTTGCATTTACTCACAAGCACAAAGTACAGACCCCAACTTCAGGAAAAAAATTTAAACAAATGGCCAAGTTTTACTGAAGACTGATGCCAAGCTCTTCACAGAATAAATGTTAGTTAATGAATTCAGCATCAGCTGATCTGCCACCTTCATCAGTGGTCATTCTATGATCAGTGCATGTCAAAAATGAGAAGCTGCTAAGTCAATGTTTTGTGCATTCCTCTTTTTGTAGAAGAAACAGGAGACATACTTGAATCAACATTTGTTTGTGTCAAAGCCATAACCCTTTAGAGAAATGTAACAGTGCTGCTTCATCAGTCTGTTAAAGAGACAACATTCTGTCAGTGGGACAGAGGTCCTTGTTACATCACTGTTCCTCATGTGTCATTCAGACATACCAAGCCTTAGTACACTTAGGATGTTTGTCATACACACGAGATTGAACAGCACAATGAAGGATGGATAATACATAATAATGTACGAATAAACATAAGACTAAATCAAAACTAATAGCAGGTTGTTAATTTCTCCAAATATCAAACAGCCTTGTTTATTTATCATTTCCTAAACACTAATAAGTCTGTCCGTCTAACAACTACTTCACCAACAGTAATATGCAAATATTCCAACTGGTTAAAGTGAATGAAAAAGCAAACATGTCTTTTGTGCTCTCGATGATGTTGTTAAACTAATATTGGAAATGGAATGTGAAAAAGGTGTCCCTTTAACTTCACATAACTCCAAGTTCAATGTTCAATTTTTTTATCTGATGGCAGGCAGTTCAGACTTGTGCCGTGTTGAAAGTGACATGGAAATGTTGTTGTATCCGGGACTGCAGACATGTTCACTTTTCCATTAGATTGATAGAAAAGATTACAATTCTGAAAAGACCTTATTTTTTGTAATCTGAGCTCAGGATCATTTGCATCAGAATGCCTTCACATTTGAAAATTTGAAATTGTATTTGCTTATGCAGCAACTTTACACTTTGACTCAGGGGTCATAGAAACTAAAATATCCCTGCACAATCAACACAAACGCCCAATATATGCTCTAAGGAGCATTAAGAAATATCAGTCCTCAAGGTGGCTCGATAAAGTTAATTAAAGCATTTCCATGACCAGAGCAGCAAACATACATGGTGTGTGTGGTGGAATGTGTTTTGCTTCACTAACTGCACTAACAAAAGAAATACAGAAAGCGTAACTGATGGAATGTCCGACCTATGAATCGCTTACGGAGGAAGGACGGAGACTTCCTGTCTGAATGAATATCATAAAGATTCAACAAAGCAGCAGATGTAACTACATAGAAGTCATTTGATCTTTGTGGGGTTTTTTTTCAGTGAGCTTTATTAAACAGAAAATATATGAAATCATAGAAACATTAACAGGACTATCAAGGACTTGCAACAATGAAATGAGTTTAGTTTCCTCAGACAATCTCAGAGTTGCATCCACTGTGCGTGAAGTGTCAATGACTTTCAGTATATTTATAGCTTGTTACAACTTTCAAGTCGTGGCCTTTGATGATAAGATGGTAAGGGGTAGCAGCAGTTTTTCTAAAGGCAACACACTGAGGTTTGTATTACAGCGAAGACTTTACTGTGAAATCAGGAAATACCTCACACTAGACCTTTTGTTACAGCTTCCCAACAGCTCTCTGATCAGATGCCTAAGTAAGCACACGTCTTATTCAGAGGTCATTCAAGATATGTGGTGGGTGGCAGAGCTGTGGACGACCCAATCTTTTTCTGGCAGAGAAGCAGGGGAAAACCCTGCCTGTCCATCAGCCAGCTTCAAAGAGCCAGTCGGTAATCTGAAACAGGCCAGAGAATGATGGCAAACAAGACGCCTGGCTGTTATTTGTGGGTTTGGCCCACAAGCTGCGTGTGAAACCTGTCACTGAGGATAAACCCACAGATCTCCACTGGGTTACTGCCCAGTAACACACTCTCCCCAGTAAAAGCTTCACATTACTGGATGGATCCTTCTGGGTGTCTGTAACGGAGCAGCAGCTTGGTGAGCTAGGAAAGGAAGTTTCATCAGTCAAAGCTTAGAAAAAGCCCCAGCATGGTAAAAATGTTCAGTACTGTCAGAGAACATGCTTTTCTTTCTTCTTTTAAAACCTGGGACCTACATTACCCACAATGCAATTCAGCTGATGGCAGTTTGGCCAGAGATGTGGGTGTCAGAGTCAGGTGAAGCCTCTAGCCTCTGTTGGGCTGCAGATTCAGTGTAAGCTACAGAGGTCCAATTAGCTCATGTCTTTCAAACTTCAACTCCCAAGATTTTTTCTACCCTTCAGGTCCAGCTGACATTGACTCAAGTGACATCACTTGAAAACATTTGTCACTTCAAACAGCTCCTGTGGATGCTACAAGCTCTGTTTCACATGTCCAGTAGTGGTCTCCAACACCTGGACTCGGTTGAGCTCACATTAAACATCTCCAGATTGTCAGGTATTTTCTGAAAATCAGGAAGTGATTTAAGTGTAGTCAACAAAAAACCTTAAAGAGCTGACTCTCTGTGTCTCTGCTTCTCAAGGGAACAGCACTGTACTGTAACCGCCCAAAATTATTACAATTAATTTTGAGGGGAAGCCACTGTCAGTCCAAAATATTGACCTCATGGTGGTACTGGAGGTAGAGCAGTCTGGAGATCATCAAAGGCAT